TGGTTGCAGCCATTATTGTTGTTTGGTGGGCCCGGGCTGGATTCGAACCCACCACCTTAGGTGTATGTGGCTGGTGCCCTAGCCACCTGAGCCATAGGCGCCGAGCCATAGTTTAGGATTTTTAATAAAATATTGGCTATTTAATGTGACTACGGCTGTTCTCAGCCTTGGGGGATTCACGCCAAGGCTGGGCCAGGGAGTAGTTCTGGGGCCTCTTTCGTCTTCCAGCATTGGTCCTAGTGGGTAGGTCTGCATGGGAGGGATGCAACTCAGCAACAGCTGGTGGGATGTTTACTTGCTGTGCCTTCATCCAGAGCCTATTTCTGGAGCAGGTACTGGACACAAGCCCGTGCCATTCCAGCAATGACCTTGGCAGGCACTGGGTGACAAGAGCGAGTGCCAGGAAGGAATAGTAGCAGTCGCTGCTTATCTCCCTAGCTTCACCTTTCCGCCTTCTCTGGGTGTGCCGAGTCATGACTATTTTACACTCCCCTTGCTCTAACTCCTAGCACCAGATACTGCTCCATTTGTTCTTTCTGTCTATTTCATTAAGGCCTAGGAAGAAAGAAAGTTAAGGGTGTTAAGTAGGGATCTACCAACTCCTAAATTGTATTGCTTTGAGGAGTCCTAATTGGAGTTCCTTGGAGTTTTCAGGGTCAAAGGAAACAGATTAGCATTTGGGGCCAGTATTAATTTCTCTATGGTTAGTCTAGTTACTAAACGGGAACTGGAACACAAAGAGGTCATTAACTTATTTATGACTACTCAGTAAGCCACAAGACAAAGATAGCACCCAAGACTCTTGGTTTCAAATTTACCATCACTTCAATAACTAAGATAAATCTATATTAAGTTAGCTTTGGGAGATAATATCAAATTTGGTTTTAGTAAATTTTCACCTTTTTAGAGCCATTGCTTAAGTTGCCACTGCTACACCAATTAAGGAACGATAATTACAACTCACTGGGTTCTCCTCTAGGGTGACATGTCTCTATTGCAGGGTTCCTTGAGAAAGTGGCTAAAGATCTGGCGCTTTCCTTTCACATCTCATCTAGGTTTTCATATGAGGCTAGAAGCCCTTCAGTCTGACAACTTCTTTTTGGTTCCTCTAAATCAACTCTCTACCCTCTCATAATGCAATTTTTATTTCTGAAGCAGAAAATGGGAGGTAGGTAAAAGATAAGCTGACACCTTGCTTGAATGACAGAACCCTATCTTCTGGTACAGAAACATTCTCTTACTGTCCTGTGACCAGCTGCTCTTTGAGTGTTCTAAAACCTCACTGCTTTTTTCCTTTAAATTGTTGTTACTGGAGAAGAAGAATTTTTTTTTATCATATAGGGAGAAGAAAAATCTTAGTCTTTTTTTTTTTAAATATAATTTATCCATCCAGCTGAAAGCCATCAGCTTGAACATCTGAAGTTCAAGCAGAGAGGGCAGTTCACAAGTTTGGTCCTGGGGCCAGATCACCATCAGTGTTCTGGCTTTCTCAAAGTGTTCTGGGGCCATCAAGGACCACTCTCTGTGTCAAAGGTATCCTACTCATAAAAAGCAGTGGGAATAAAGCTAACACCATTAGTCAAAGAAAAAAGAGGAAAATGTATCTGAAGATTACAACAAAAATCTTCATAACATTAAGCAAGGATATGG